CACACCCTTAATTACATTCTTGTAGTTAAAGTTACACACACTTTAACCAACAAACCATGATAACTTATTTATTATTTTTTACCCAAACCAGTTTTCTCTGGTAAATTCCTCCACATGACAGGACCAAAATAAGTGAGACAATACCTAATGAGACTTATTTTATTCCCTATCAAACTCTAACTTAGTGCATAGGAAATGGTGTTTCAAAGGAAAACATTCACCCCCTTGTGTTAAAAATGAGGAAGGCAGACATCTTAATAATTTTGCAAAAAAGATTCAAGCCCAGAAGGTTTAATGGGAATGGAGATTTACAGGTTCCAATATCTGGCAGTCTTGACATTGCCCAATGGAGGGGAAGGGGCTTCAGGCATCAGGGGATTTTATACAGATTAATCTAGAAAGACTTAGGAAGCACGAAGGTTCAGGTTTAAGCACACTGAGTATAAATGAATGGAGAAAGAATGAAAAAATGAATAACGTAGAAAGGAATGAGACTGAGGAAATTCAATCATACTGAAGGAAATAAAAAGGACTGAGTGTAAGCAACTCAGAGTAGAGAAAGTTATTCACAGGCTTTAGAGTCACTTCCTCTCACTGTATGTCTTGCACAGTAATAGACTGCCGTATCCTCTGGTTTGAGGCTGATCATCTGCAGATACAGCTGGCTTTTGGCAATGTCCTTGGAGATGGTGAAGCGGCCCTTCACTTTGTCAGAGTAGTAAATATCTGAAGACCATATATATACTATGGCCAACCATTCAAGGCCTTTCCCTGGAGCTTGTCTCACCCAGCTCATCTCATGGTTGTGGAAGGTGAAGCCCGAGACTTGGCAGGAGAGATGGAGGGACTCTTCCGGTGGTCGGAATTCCTTGCAGCCTACAAGTATAAGCTTGTCCACCAACCAGGAAAAGCCATACCCCATGCCAACGCACTGAGCCGCTCACCTCTACCAGATCTGGATGACGACCCAGCTCCTACCACGTCCACCCTACAAATTGAAACATTACCGAACCTGCCTATCACCGCATCTGACATCGCAAAGGAAACCACAAAAGACGCACTGATGGCCTGAATCCTGAACTGGGTAGGGAGGGGCTTGCCAGAAAATGATAAGAACGAGACTTTTAAAGCTTTCAGAACCCGGCAAACTGAGCTGTCAGTTGAAAAAGGATGTATCCTGTGGGGGGATAGAGTTGTTGTTCCTAAAATACTACAGGAAGAAGTGCTGAGCATGTTACATGAAGGACACCCAGGCATGGTAAAAATGAAATCCCTGGCCAGAAGCTACGTCTGGTGGCCAGGGATGGACAAAGACATTGAAACATGGGTGACAACATGCAATAAATGCCAGAAATCCAGACCTACCCCCCTTCTGACACCGGCCATCGACTGGGAGACACCCAGAGGCCCCTGGTCGAGGATCCACATAGATTTCGACGGATCCACTAAAGGATATACATTTTTAATCATTGTCGATGCCTACTCAAACTGGTTGGAGGTCAGCATCATGAATTCCATGATGACTGAAGCCATCACCAAACAACTAAGAAAACTTTTCGCCATACATGGATTACCGGACTTGTTAGTTTCGGACAATGGCCCACAGTTCACAGCTTTAGCTTTTGAACAATTCCTTGCAGAACAAGGCATACGACATGCCCTGACAGCGCCAGCTCACCCAGCGTCAAACGGATGGGCAGAACGCATGGTTCGATATACAAAAGAAGTATTGGAAAAACTTGACACAGGTGACATTAAAGACAAAATCAATACAATGCTCACAATCCAACATATAACACCAAGCACATCAACAAACAAGAGTCCAGCTGAACTCTTAATGGGCAGAAAATTGCGGACATATTTGGATAGATTGCACCCCACCTACAACCCTGAGATGCCACCAGACTCCTCCAGTAAGTACGGCATTTTTATACCAGGCGACCTGGTATACGCGAAAAATCTTACTGGGGACCCATTGTGGTTGCCGGCCACAATAACGCAAATAACAGGCCCCCAGTCATACCAATTAGAAACGATGGACGGCAGAACCTGGAAGAGACACATAGACCAACTACGGTCTCGAACCTTCGAACGAACCACCGACACACCCCGAGGCATAGAACATACCCACACACAAAATCCAATAGATAATAATAAAACCAGAGGGGGGGGGAACCCTCAAATAATAAAGAAAGGGAAGACCCTCTATTAACACAACAAAAA